AGAGATGAAATCTGATCCACCTCATTCTGCAATGAATATTTAGCGGCAAATCCTTTATCTTAAAGTACTTAGCTTTAAGATCACACAAAAAGTTACAGTTTGGTATTTTCCATGATCCAATGTAAGAGCATCCTTTTGGACAGAGGATTGTAAATACTCATGTTTTACAGGAAAAAATCCTAGCTTTGGGGAGGCAGAGAAAGTAACAGAGTCATTTGGCCCACAATGAGCCATTTATTCACATTGACTCAGCTCTCAAATCAGACGAGTTTCATGAAGCATCCCTAGATATCCAACCACTTTCTGTTAGGAAGTTTAAAATCCTTTTCTTTAGTACCTTGTCCAAATAACTGGGAAGGCGACTTTTTGAGGGAATACCCTGTCTTTTTTGGAGATGGTCTTTAATAATTATCGTTTTCACAGTCACATAACGTGCCGGACTCAGATTTAGAGAGCTACAGAGCACCTTTTCTCTGTCTGATAAGAGTTCAAAGCCAGGCAGATTTTCAATTGCAGCAAATTCCCCATCCTTACCATCTTCCTTTCCTCTCTTGGAATTGGCTATATTTTTATTCTCCTTCCTCTTCTCCCGTTTATGTCTAGCTGCCTCATATTCTGCTGACTCTTCCATTTTGGTGATTCCATTTCGACGGTACCGCTGCAGTTCTCGAATCTTTGCTCGAAGTACCCTCTCCTTGTGCATGTTTTCAAAGAAGTCTTCAAACTCCTTACAAGACATGAATTGATAGAGAGGCCTCAGTTTTAACCTCAACTCCTTTTCTTCTTTTGTGATCTTCCGTTTTGGAGTTTTTTCCTTGTCCTTTTTATCCTTCCCAAGAAAGGCAGGTACCAGATTATAATCTCGTGCAATGTTTTTCCTCCGTTGCCTCTCCTTAAGTTTTCTTACATACATATCAACGTGAGCTCTTTTTAATTCTATTTCCACATCATCATCATCATAGTTCACTGAAAGACCACTGATCAGAGTCTCAGCATCCTGGTCGTACTCAATCTCATAGTCATCTCGAAGTGGCATATATCCCAACTGCTGCTGTTCCGCCACTGATATGTCCAAAGGAGGGAGGGGTGTGGTCAGGCTAGGAGAAAGTGGGCCACCACTGGGACAAGTGTGATCTGTCACTCTGTTAGGTATAGTGTCAGGGATGCAGGCTTTTCCAAGGTTGCCATGGATATACATGCTTACATAGTGTTCCATCACTTCCTGGGGAGTTCGGGATGCTCCAACATGAGCAGCCATATCCTCCTAGAAGGAGAAAATTAAGGAAATTAGTGATGGCTTGACTTATTAGCTCAGTTTTAAAAATACACCCAATTATTAGGGATAACCTCTCATGTTTTCCCCACACATCAACCTGAAATATCTTTGTTTTTCTAGCAATATTTAGGTTAACCATTCTACTGTGCATTCACACAGTCTTCTTCTGGTCCAGTATAAAGTCCACCCCACTTATAATATCTCTTTATTCCACCAAGATGTTTCCTCGATCTAGCTAGATTTCTAGAAGGTATACAGATGCGAACAGCACCTCAGTGACTAAGCTTTAAGACAGATGCTACTAATGAGTATTAACATAGCAAGCTACATCAGTTTCTCAGTGAATCCCAAGACACCACCAGGAGCTACATGAGCACCATCTGGAAGTGACATCCTCAGGGCCACTGCCAAATATAGGCCTTTCATGTCTCAATATCAAGTGCACCTTGACAGTATTGTAGCGTCCCTGAAATCTAGCAAAAAGTAGAGTAATTCCACTGGTTGAATCATATGTCAAAATTCTCTGGGGAACAAAAGTTAACACATTTCTTTGCAGAATATAAGAGGATCAAACAATCCTATTTATTCAACAGCTTGCTTGGCACATAGTGTAGGAAAAATAAGTGGCAATCATTCAACTCATAAAAGTTGTTTCCATGACTCAGGTCCTCCCTCCCAACAGAGTTTCATACCCTCTTCACTCCAACATTTTACAGAAGGGGAAAAGGATTGCAACACTGAAACTGTATATATTTAAACAAATGAGAGGCCTAAGTCTAGTACCCTAGTCATGTGTGTATGTGGTTGTTTAACTAGAGAAACATGGAGGAAGAAGAGGGAAAACTCTAAACAAAATTTTAAAAAGTATTTTGTCCTGCAGAAGTTGGTAGCAATTTTTCTAAGAAAATTTAGAAGCAAAATTCAGTTCTATGAATATTTATTGTGCCAATATTTTAATGATTATTGAATTCAATAATTAAACTATGAAATGGAGATATTTAGTTCTTTAAATGTAATTCTTAATGCAGCCTTAGCCATGTAGTCAAAACTGATGCCTTCATATCTAATTTTGCTCATTTGGAAATGGAAGTTCAATATTTGGATCATATTTCCCATTCCCCCCCCCCTTTTTTTTTTTAAATACACAGTACACAGGTGAGAAAGATTAGTGCTTGCATATCTCTGTAAGAATAGTTTGTTAGGTAACAAAAGGCCACAGCCATCATAATAAGAAGTGTATTTAATGAGATTAGGTTTTATTAAGCAGTAAGAATTTCAAAAAGAAAAAAAAGACTTGCCCTCATATTTATGAAAAAAATGGGATGTGGAGTAGGGCACTAAACAGTACGAGCTTGGATGAGTTGAGGTATCTTGCTGTCTTTCTGAAGAAAAGCCCTGTTTCAAGCAATTATCAACATAAATGGTGATTGAGTCAGCTTCCTATATTGTACCAAAACAAAGAAAATTTTGTTAGTGTAGATTAAAAAGGATGAGTGTGTGAGACCTGAGAGTTGTGACATAATGGAGTGAAAAACATAAATACAATGAAGACAGGTGTGATGAGAATAGGGAACAAAGGAGTAAACAGAGTCAAATCTGCAATGAAACTGGGATGGGAAATTGTGTAAAAAGGGAAATCTTTACTGTTCTTTTTTAGATGACAGATTCTGTTGTAAGTCTTTGGGGAAGCACTTCCTTTACTAGAATCCCCCCTGCACATACTAAGTTATTGTGCAATCTGTGGGGTTCTTTGGTTACTATTTCTATACACACACCTATGGACTATGAAACAGGTACGGGGGGTGGGGGGGGAAAGCAGGGTGTCAGACATAAAACTTGATTGACCCTTTCTGAAAACCATGTTGTTGATGGGTCAGTTTTAGATTAAAAACAAAAATAAAGCCCCAAGGTTTCACAAAAGCTTTTTATTAAGAAAGTATTCTTAATTCAGCTATTTAATAGAGCCTTTGACTTTAGACACTCACCTGCAGTGTTTGTATCTCAAGTACTATATACAATGCCACAGGGCACAAGAATATTTCAAAAATGATGTTAGTCATACCCTGCATACTATCCTAAAATAAACAGATGTTTGTGTCAACATGATCAACAGTTAATGCTAACTTCGAAAGTGTCATAACATTTCAATGTTATCTTCTTGAGAAGAAGGAAGAAGTTGCCATCTCCATGTTACTATTTTGGCTCCTGCAGACTCAGTAAGACAGCTCAGCATCATTTTGTTCAGGTTTTCTTCACAGATGTAATAACCAGAAATTGAACATTCCCCCCGACACTCCCTTAAGTGGAAACCTTAAGTTGGACCAAGACGGTTGGTCTGGTCATGACCAGAAAGTTGTTGTATGGGCCATCACTAGCCAGAGACTCAATTCAACACCTATGCCTGGGACCCAGAAAGTGACTGACTACATACACCACAGAGAAGTGAAGTTTGTCCAGCAGCAGCATAAACAGCACTAGCAAGTCTGATGGTGTGGAAAGTGGTCAGGTTTCAGTGATCGCAGGTATAACGAGCAACAAAAGGACAGAGTTTCTATTTTAAAGACTTGTGAATTTTACCCAGACCATGGAGCGCGCCTGAGCGGAAAGGAGCAGCTGGGGAGCGGGGCTGGCTGTCAGCACCTAGACGCCGTACAGCTGACACGCTGTATAGGAGGCGGATGGGCAGGGGGGAATGGGCAGGGGGCGGGGGGTACGGCTGGATCAGCCCCCTGGGGAGCTGTGGGCCCGCTTCGCGGAGCGGGGGACGATAGAAACGGCACATCACAGCCGGAGGAGCCCCACTGAGGAGCGGTCCCAGGTCCCGACGCAGCGTTAACCTCCCCCTGACGCACCGACTCAGAGACCGGCTCCCTGACAAGCCCACGGCTTGACAGGCCAACGCAATACTCGGCCCTGAGGCTGCCAGGCCGGGCGGGGAAAGGGGCTCTGAGCTCCGCGTCCCCCTGCGCTGCCCGGCGGCCGCTCGCTTACCCAGTTGCCGAAGCCGAACTGCTCGATCGCGTCCAGCAGCAGCTGCTCCTCCCGGCTGCTCCAGCCGCCCTCGGCCTCGGCCCCCCAGAGGGTGAAGCGGCCGCCGTCCACCAGCTGGTAGCCGTGCCATCGGCGGTGCGGCCCGATCTCGGCGCCTGCCGAAAAGCAGTCTGGGCAGAGCTCGATGTCGGCGCACTCGGTGCAACGGAAACGGAGCGAGCTCACCTCAGCCAGACAGTACACGCAGTACTTCTTCCCCAGTTCCGCCATCTTACCCCGCCCGCCGCGCCGCACTGCGCACGCGCGGCACCGCCCACACCCAGGGACGGCCAATGGCAGCGCGCCCAAGGGGCGGGGACCCGTAGTGGGAGCCCAATAGAGCCAAACAATCTGACACGCCCCTCGTAATTGAACCAATAGGGTGAGGGCGATGAGGCGTGGCGAAAACCCAAGGACCAATAGAATTCGAGGCTCTGGTTCCGTCCGCCTCCACTACAACCAATCAGGTAAGCGACCCTAGGCAGCCCCTTCACTGAGTGGTCGACCAACAGTTTGGGGCGTCGGCACAGTGTCTCCGCAGGGAGGAGGCTACTCCTCCCATTGGCTGAACGAGTCCAGCCTTGTTGCCTTGACAACGGAGAAGACAGGTAAACAACGAAGCGAGTGGGACTGAGACCGACGCGCCCGAATCAAGCCGTGGACCGGCCCGGTAGAGGGCCCAGCTCAGGGGATGATGGAGGAGGAGGAGGAGGCGGGGGCCGAGGCCCCGGTGCACCCCGGGGAGTCCCCTGTGGAGGCAGAGGGCCCGGGGCCCGTCGCGGAGGAGCAGGCGGCCGGAGAGGAGAGGCCGGAGGAGGCCGGGGGAGAGAGCCCCCTTGAGAAGCCGTCGGGGGAAGAGGCTGCCGCGGAGGAGGGGACGGCAGAGCCGGAACACAGGGCCGGCACGGAGCCTCCTTCCCCGGCCGCTGAGGGAAGGCCCGAGGCAGAGGCGGGAGCCGCCCCAGAGGCGCCCACCAGCGCTAGCTTCACGGAGGGCGAGGCCGAGGAGCCGCCCCCGCTGCAGGTGGGGGAAGTGCTAAGCCCCCAGGAGAGCTGGGGGGCGGGGCGGCCCAGCCTGCCCCTGCTGGAGCTGGGCAGCCCCACTGACGAGGAGGAGGAGGAAGAGGAAGAGGAAGGGGGGGAGGAGGCGGCGGCGGAGGAGCAGCGGCGGCGCGCGGAGCTGACCGAGCAGTACCGGCTCCTGCTGGCCGAGCGCGAGCGCACGCGCCAGTACAACGGGCACCTGCAGTTCAAGCTGTACGAGCTCTTCCGCAAGAAGGGCGAGGAGCCGCCCCGCGTGGAGCTGGAGGAGCTGGTCTCCGACAAGGAGCAGCGCTACACCCGCTACCTGGCCATGCTGGAGGAGCTGAGGAGCCAGCTGGCCCAGCAGAGGGCATGGTACCAGCTCCAGCTAGACGACCTGGAGCAGCGCTGCACGAAGAAGCTGGACCAGGTGAACGCCGACTGGCTCGCCTTCCAGGCCTGCAAGAAGGAAGTGACCCTCTTCACCATGGGGCGCCAGCTGGGGGGGAAGGAAGCTGCCATTAAGGAGGTGGAGCACATCCAAGCCAAGGAGCAGCGTAAAGAGAACGAGATGAGTGAGGTGAGGCTACCCCTAACATGGGACTTGTGCTTCCAGAGCAGCGTCCATGAACCCTATGGGATGTGGGGCCACCGCTAGCATCACATTAGAGTACCTACCCCTTTAATGTAGATAGCTTCAACTTTGGGCCAGAGTTGTAAAAGCAGTTAGGCACCTACAAATGAAGGAGCCACTTTTGAAAATCCTACTTGGTATCTAGCACCTGCTAAAAATCAGGGAAGATGCTTCAGGGATTATGTCATTTATACTTAGACTTGACAAAGCACAAAGAAGGCCTATCGTGATAGAGAGGTGGATTAGAAACGCTAATAAATCTTTCCCGGTCTCTCATTTCTACCATTCTAGGTTCGCCTGGAAAACATCAAGCTGCAGCATAAGATTGAAAAGCTTGAAGCAAGCCTGAAAGCTCAAGAGGAGCTGGCAGAAGGACTGCACCTGATAGACTTTGAGCAGCTGAAGATAGAGAACCAGACCTACAATGAGAAAATTGAGGAGCGCAATGAAGAGCTTCTCAAGCTCCGGAACAAGATCACTAATACAGTGCAAATCCTGACCCAGCTCAAAGAAAAACTCCAGTTTGTAGAAGCTCAGAATCAAGACCAAAGGACCCAGCTGATGGAGACTGAGACACTGGTGGCCCAGAAAAGAGAGATTCTGACCAAAACCAAACAGGCTAGGGATAGTTTACGGGTACACAACTTGAAGTTGCGACAGAAGTGTGGGCTTCTCGGAAGTGAGGCACTGCTGCGGGACTTTGAGAACAAGGTGGATGCTGCTGAAGTACTAAGTCAGCGGCTGGAGATGCTGAAACGTCACCATGCTGGACTCACCCTTACTTGCAAAGCTGTAAAGAAAAAAATCAAGGAAGCAAAATCCTTTCTACCAGAATGAGGATTTTGGAGAAAGTGAGGTTAAAAGACAGAAAAACAAAAATTGAGCACTTAAATTGGTTTATTTGTCTCTGAAATTGTTTTTCATTTACAGGCTTGGAATATAGTAAAAGGGTGAAATAGTCTCAATTTCACATCTAATGAAAACTTTGTTTCCAAAGTTTTAATGTTATACATTCCATCAGGAGACTGCCATGAAGTTCTGCCTTTTTCAATGGCTCATGAAGAAACCAAGCACATTTGGCTATTTACTCTATCATATTGATATTTTAAGTATGCATTTAAAAACACACACACACTGGCACTATTCTAATCACTGGCAGCATCACCCTCTGGTGTAAGCAAAAAACTGCAAGTCAAATACCCTCAGATTCCAGTCCTGGTTCTGCCACTAACTCACTATGTGGCCTTGGCAGTCTGTTCCCCACAACTCTAAAGTAGGTGTACTTACCGACCTGTGTCTTTGAGGATTATATCTTCAGAGAGTTTTACAAAAATTAAAGTGATATATATAGATTGTAAATAATACAATTTATCAGGAGCTTGTTTTAGTATTAATACATAGCAATTGTCTTGTATTTATATGCAGAATACACTGTACAGGTGTTAACTAACCTAATTATCCTCAAGCTACGGTTGGTGAAGCACCAGTGATCTGCAGCGTTTTCCTTATTGGTCCACAGAATTAAACATTTTGACAGCCAAGCAGCAGAGAGCTGAAAGGGAGATCCATGAAAAGTTCTCTTATGAAGATGTTCACAGAATGAAAGAGCTGCAGAACTATGGATGCTAATGAATCCTTAAATCATTGCTGTGAGGGAGTTAACTTACTGGCCACTGGTGGATGAAAAATGCTTGCAGAGGGCAGAGCTGGAGAGGGCTCTCTCAGCCCACTCGTAGCATGCACTGGTCTAGTAAGTAATGAGTGGCTAGTGACTGACCTTTTTCTGGTTTCTAAAGCTAGAAGAAATGTCTCTACAACAGTGAAATGATGTGGGTCAGAACAGTGGCGGGGGTTATAACTTCAGTACTTCAAGAGCAAGATGACAAGTAGTAGTTTTAACACTGGTATTTACATACTAAGGCAATAGATACCTTAGACCAGGGGGCAGGCAAACTTTTTGGCCTGAGGGCCACATCAGTTTTCTGAAATTGTATGGAGGGCCGGTTAGGGGAAGCTGTGCCTCCCAAACAGCCAGGCGTGACCCGGCCCCCTCAGCCTATTCGACCCCCCTGCTTCTCACCCCGATAGGCCCCCACCGGGACTCCTGCCCCATCCAACCCCCCCCGTTCCCTGTTGGCCCCCCAGGACCCCTACCCAATCCAACCCCCCCTCTCCTTCCTGACTGCCACCCTGGGACCCCTACCCCCATTCAACCCCCATTTCCTGTCCTCTGACTGCCCCAACCCCTATCCACACCCCCGACCACCACCCCAAACTCCCCTGCCCTCGATCCAACATTCCCCCCCGCTCTCTGCCCCCTTACCGCGCTGCCTGGAGCACCAGTGGCTGGCAATGCAACAGCTGTGCTGCCCACAGCACCAGGACAGGCAGCCGTGCTGCTTGGCTGGACCAAGCCACGCCACCACGTAGCACAGAGCGCTGGGTCAGGCCGTGGCTCTGCAGCTGTGCTGCCCGGCAAGAGCGCGCAGCCCCGCCGCCCAGAGCATTCCACCGGTGGCACAGTGAGCTGAGGCTGTAGGGGAGAGGGGACAGTGGGGAAAGGGCCAGGGGCTAGCCTCCCAGACTGGGAGCTCAGGGGCCGGGCAGGAGGGTCCCACAGGCCGGATGTGGCTTGTGGGCCATAGTTTGCCCACCTCTGCCTTAGACATACTTTACATAGAGATCCAAATCTCTCCTAACCCCAATAAGTCATGGTGGTTCATCTGTGGACTTAGTACAGATCCTAAACTGCACAAGTTGATGCAATAAGCATCATTAGACATATCAGTTTCAAGGTCTGCACATGTTCAACATACATCTGAGAAATGACAGCATCATGAAGTTCTAATTACAAAATGAACAACAAATATTCTTGCCTTCTCAGTAAGTCCAGTGCACTAGATCTTGGCTAGAATCAGCAAACAAACTTAATCTGAGTTTTCTTAGCTAAGATATATAAAAGTAGATTAAAAAGCATTAAGTTTCTAAAAATGTTTAAAACTATTTTTTTCTAAGTGATCTCTGAAGTAGCCTTTCTGAATCACCTCAACACTGGGAAAAAGAATTGATACCACACTAAAAACTTCTCAGTTGGGAGGGAGGAATTGGGATCATAATGGAAAGCTGGTCATTTTATTACTGAGAGCATAAAAGCTTGGTCTTCTATCCTGAAAAGATGATAGTCTGAAAACAATCCTGCACAGGCTTGGAACAGATTAGATGCCACAGTTTATGTTTTTCCATCTCTCTAATTAGTTTGATTGGAGATTTAAACCATTTTGCAAAAAAAAAAAAAAAAAAAAAAAGTCACAGCAAAACAATTCAACTGTACTAAACACCCCATTTTTATGTCAATGGGTTTTTGGTGCTCTACTAAATCTCCAGTAGTGATGAGAGACTACAAAATAGGTTGACTAATTGGGGCAAAACACCACTACCCAATTTAATCTCTTCTAGACACTAGCCAGCACATGGAGACATATTCCAATAAATATAGTGGCCAACATCTTAAGTGAAAAAGGGAAATTATTTATTTATAAAACCCTGTTTCTTTCAGGGTAAGCCCAGTTACTCAGGCTAATAGGTAAGCTCTTCTCCAGCTAAAATTTTAAGTTAAAGATGTCCTGTTGTGCAGTACAGCATCTATTTGGTTTCCTACTCAATTGTTTTGGTAAAGATATAAGGTCATATGAATAATAGACTCCCTGTAACAGAATTACACGCTATCTACTTGAGCCTCAGTATGATGATCAAGTTACAGTTCTCTCTCACCATAAAACAAGCTTCATAAATGCCATCTTCCGTTGTACTTACTACTCCAAAGGAGCAGTATCTATTATTCCTACTTTTTGGTGTATGTTCCAAAGCCCTACCAGTGTAGTTGGATTTCCTTTAAATAGTCATAAGACCATAAGAACAGCCATACTGGGTCAGACCAAAGGTCCAATGTTGTGGGAACAAACAATTACCACTCTGGTCTTCCAAAGCCCTTCCTCCTGAGGAAAATGATTAGAATTTGAAACTGTAACCAGGAGGTCGGCAATGTGTCTGTACATGGACACAAGTGTCCATGGTAAAAATTTTGAGGTCCGTGGGGGTGCTCACCTCAGGCAGCTCCCCACAAGCGTCTCCCCCCATGCTGTTGCTGGCGGAGGCGCAGCCAGGCGCCTCTGCAGGCACGCTGCCTCCGTGTCTCCCCCTCCCCCCTCCGCAAGCACTGACTTTGCAGCTCCCAGCCCATTGGCCAGGAACCATGGCCACTGGGAGCTTCGGGGGCAGTGCCTGTGGAGAGGGCAGCAAGCAGAGCCGCCGGGCCATGCCTCCGTGTTGGAGCTGGAGAGGGGACTGGGAGCTGCTTGAGGTAAGAGCTTCCCGGAGTGTGCACCACTGACCCCCTCCCACAACCCAACCCTCTACCCCAGCCCTGATCCCACTCCTGCCCTACAAACCCCCTCATCCCCTGCCGCACCCCCAGCTGGAGCTCTCATCCCCCCCAATCTCCTGCTCTAGCCCAGAGCCCACTCCCATCCCCTGAACCCCTCATTTCTGGCCCCACCCTGAAACCTGCACCCCCAGCGCAAAGCCCATACACCCCCTCCCACACTCCAACCTCCTTCCTCAGCCCAGAGCCCCTTCCCACCCACCCCCAATGTCTGTCACTAAGTCTGGTAATTTTGTCAAGTGTCCATCGTGCTAAATGGTGGTGCTGACCCCTGACTGTAACATGAGACTCGGGAGATCCATGGACCCTTTGTTCTCTTCCTATGGGAAAGTACAATATGGCACCATACAAGAACTGTTAAGGTTTACAAAGAAAGGGATTTTCAGGTTTATGTGCCAGTATGTGCTAGCTGAAAAAAAAGGGAAGCAATTCCAAATATTTTCAAGCAGACTGGATTATAGCAGTCAGAACAGGGAAGAGAAAACAAACAGTTTTTAAAAGAATACACTATGAAATTGTAGCATATGCAAAGTTGGGGTTTCTGGTTCATTCATTGAATGGAGTCAGGAAGAGGAGTTGATTCCTTATCAACAGGTTGGGTATTGGTATATAAACTCAGGAACTTCGGCCTGGATTACACTGTAATTGACACAGTGTTATCTAGGTAACTTTACATGACTTTAATAAAACCATATTTACAGTTCAAAAAAGTTCATTTGATACACTTACCTAAACAAAAATTGATAATTGTACATAAAAACAAACATGATATACAGAGAGTGTCAATAGTTCTTTACATATTGTTCTAGTATTTAAAACATTCAAAAATAGAAGCCATTATAAAGTACCTTTCAAAATGAAATTCTTTACTAAATGATACATTTTGACTATTACTGATTGAAGATGCAAAATATTTTGTTTTACTGTAAAGTGCAGGTTGCACAAAATCCCAAACCAGGTTGCAGTCTTCCTAGTTTCTCTTATTTGCTGCATGTAAAGTGAAAGTTGCAGACTTCTAAATTATTGCAGCATTTTCATTTTTTTAAACCTGTTGGGGGGAAAAAAGAACAGCTCTCTGTTTTGATGGAGAATAGGGAAATCTCAATGCATCATGTTACACGTATCCCTGAACAATAAAATCAAGATGGCAAAATCTGGTATGCAATCCCTGAATTTAATTATGAAAACCTTCCTTAATAGCTAATTAAGATATTTGGTATGCTGTCAGAAAATTAAAAAGCTATAGTGGCAAGTAATCCTATTCCATTATACATCTCAACAGCATTATCAAAATTCAAGCGTATTTTCAAATCAAGTATGCTGAAAAGTTTAAACTGCATCTTTAGGCAGGTGAAAAGTTTTCCCAAATACAGGGTTTTATTTTAAAACAAACTGTGCAAAGCTCCTTATTGCATTGCTTTTCTTCATTAAAGAACATACCTTTATGTACACAAATAAATCAATTAGAAAATATATACATTTAAGAAAAAAACAAAACA